TTTTTTTTTTTTTTTTTTTTTTGTATTTAGGATAGGGTGTACAGGGTGTACAGGGTCTTGCTGTATAGATTGGACTCCTCATGATCCTCTCCCAAGAGCTGGGATTACAGGCATGTGCCACCATACCTAATCTCAATTGCTGTCTCTGTGCACCCCAGGGGCAGGGCTGGCATGGCAGGCCTGGGGATTGAACTCCAGGCCCCTGTGTCTGCCTAAGCAAGCGCTTTAATCTGCTGAGCTATTTAACCGGCCTTCACATTTACTCTTGTAGTGTGGGCTTCCTGAGGAAACTAACAGTAATGGAAGCCAGTAAGCTGTCTTGCTCACTGCTGCATTCCCAATGCCTTGGTGCTATGATGGTGCCATGCATGGGATGATGCTTAATAAGTGTCTGATGAATACTTGGTCTGTCTGCAGGGTTCCAGGACACCATGATCCAGGGATGCCCAGGCCCTTATACAGAATGGCACAGTATCCGCTTGTGACCTAGCATAGCATCCCATATACATTAAATCATCTCTGAGTTATTCATAACACCAAGTACAATATAAATGCCATGCAAATAATTGTTATTCTATATTATTTAGCGAATAATGACAAAAAGCCTGTATATGTTTAATACCAGTGCAGACTTATGAATATTTACAGCTGAGCTCTGTTGAGTCTGCAGATCTGGAGCCTGCGAATACAGAGGGACCACTATACATGTTGGATGGTATCTGACAATTAGTAATAGCTTCATGTTTTTAACTTGAAGGGCTCTCAGTTTTTTTTTTTTCATACATTTGCATGAATTTTATACCATGAATGGGCTTTATCCAAGATGCTCTTTCAGATACCACCTTTGCTGAAATTGTTAATTAAATTTAATAACTTTTAATTGGAGGCTAACTCTGTATCATGCATGCTGGTAAAGATTGCCTTGCAGATATAGCTTGGTATAAAATGTTAACCTGCAGTTTGTTTGAAGTCCTCTTTCAATGCAGATACAGAAGCAAGTAATTTTGCTCAGATAGATGGTCACAGATCCAGGAAAACAATAGAGAAAATATTTGGTCAGATTAGGAGCAGGCAGGTCATTAGGTAGAAAAGGCAAACAGAAAGAATGAATAACCTGAGAGAAGGGGCAAATGTGTCTGATGCTGTTGTAAGCAGATACTAAGAGGAGGGTACAGAATTTACAAGAGGAACTGCACATGACATACCTGGAGCTAGAGTGATGACTTTCAGTCTCAAATGTTGGGGTTTAGCTTTTAAGTAGTGAGTGGCTGTGAACACAGTTTGCGCAGGTATAGATGTACTGAGGAAAGATGATTGATAATAGAGTATAATGGAAGGGTATAGATGGGAAGCAGAATATAGTGCTTGAGAAATGATCAGATTTTGGATCATGATATTAGCAGTGGAAGAAAAGCAGAAGAGGTGGTGCATTTACATTGAATCAGCTTAGCCAAGCTTGGACTTGATCTGGAACCTTCTTCCCTGGTTAGTTTCAGGCCAGTCCCATTCAGAAGAGACATACACAGCATTTGAAAGCCATATTGAAGTGACAACTTAAAATATTATTACAATTGGTTCAGAAGCATCAGTTGTTACTATTATGCACATTGTTCCTGATTTGTTAGCTCATTCATTAGAATGAATTCACATCTGAGTCTACAATTTCTCATACTTCTAGCAGAAATTCAGCTTCTCAGGATGTTGAGGCAGGCATAGCAGTACATCAGAAGCAATAACAGTACATAGATGGCTCCCTCAAAGTCATATTTCTATAATGATTTCCATATTTAAATAGTTCTTGTTATTTTCCTATCAAATTTTTTCCATAATTTTATTGATAAACAAAGCAATGAGCCAGTTTCAAATCAAATTGGTAGGACAGTTTCAATAATTAACACATTGCATACATTCCTCCTCGTGGTTAATTGCTGTACAAGATGCGAACATGATATCCTATCTACAAACACCATTAGAACAAATCCCTCTATTCATTAAGAGAATGTAACTATGTATCTATCCTAACCACTTTGAATACACACATATAAAATAGACATTCATCTGTATCCCATTTTTTTGTTAAGTTCCATTATTTGAATATTATAGGTGTGTTAACTCAGCAA